TTCCACATCAGGACTGTTTCCCTTTCCCCATCAGGACTGTTTCCCGTTCCCCACTCAGGACTGTTTCCCGTTCCCCACTCAGGACTGTTTCCCTTTCCCCACTCAGGACTGTTTCCCTTTCCCCACTCAGGACTGTTTCCCGTTCCCCACTCAGGACTGTTTTCCTTTCCCCACTCAGGACTGTTTCCCTTTCCCCACTCAGGACTGTTTCCCTTTCCCCACTCAGGACTGTTTCCCTTTCCCCACTCAGGACTGTTTCCCTTTCCCCACTCAGGACTGTTAAATTTTCCCTATTTAGTTCTGTTCCCCACAACTGTCTCTTCATCATCATGCAGAACTCTTTCACTGCCCCATTGAGGACCATTTCCCTGTCCACATGCAGGACTGTTTCCTTTTCCTGTTTAGAATTCTTTCCCTGTCCCCATTCTGAAATCTTTCACTTTCAAGAAGTTTAAATCACTTATCACCGTGGTTATCACATATACATGTAGGTTGGTGTTCGTATAATTCTCCTTTAGGCCAGACTTTTATTATCCCTTGTTTCACAAACCCGCCGAAAATGAAATAAAATTTTATTTCAGCGTAAATTCTCGCGCACGCCGACTTGTAAATGCAAAAAATTGCTAGAAAATACTTATTTTTATCTTCAATTTTTTTTCCACCCGCCGCATAACAAACCCAAGTTGCATTTTCGTGGGAGTATCATGATCTAAGTACCGAAGTCTCGCGCAGATGAGAAACAAGGTTCATACATGGAATAAAATTTTATTTCATTTCTTCTCTCCAATCAATGATCTCACTTACAATTCTTTGAGAATCACACAAATCTAATGAAAAAAAAAATTAATTTTATTTTTTTTTCCGCCCTCCTCAAAAAAATTGCCTTATAAAAACTTGAGAAAAAAGGAATAAAAAAGTCTCGCCTTACCCATGAATCAATGTGTTTCTATGTTTCTTATTAGCTTAAAGAATTGGTAGAAATTATTGTGAAAGAATTTGTTAATATGGCTGGCAATGTTGAATTTGTAAGTATTACATTGAATTATTGTGCTGTAACTTTTTTCTTATGCGGCAATCATCTGTATTTTTTCTAAATTTGTTTGTAATTTTAAAATTCAAAATTGTATTCGTGGTACCAAATAAGTTAACACAGATTATGTTGCCATGTCACACAAATAGCAACAAATTGATGATTATTCACTCAGTACCACAAAAATCTTTTGGATCAGTTTAAAAAGAAAAAAAAACAACAGCTCTTATCAATTTAATTACTGAACAACCCTGGTATCAACCCTGAACATACAACATGATGCAAATTATTTGAGCAGAAAATAATCTTCACTGAAAAGATTATTTGGGATTTTTGTATGAAGTTTATTTGCACTGAGTTGAATGTGAAATATAGGAAAAAAGGTGTATTTTTTGGATTTTATTTTCAGGGAGTCATCCATCCTTTCAGCAAAAATAGTGAAAATAAAGCATTTTACAATAGTTGTTAGTGTGCTAATATTACTGTAAAATACTTTATTTTAGCTGGAATTAAGGTAGAGATGCAGTTTATTTGGCTTGCTTTTTAATTGATTAATTAGACAATGAAGATGGTATTATATGTCCAACATGTTATATATTTTCTGAAAGCTTATTATACAAACTTTGTAAAACTTGTCTTTATTTTAAATATCCAGAATGCGTTTTTGATTTTGAGTCAAAAAGTGGTTTAAAAAAAATTAGCTTAAAAACTTCAAGTCCGTTTGTGGGTAAAATTACATCACTGGATACCTTGGTATACTACTAATTCAAATGCGTCCACTCATCTCTCTAACGGCTTTCAAAGTTGAAAAGACTTTTTAGGTGTTTTGTATGGAATTCATTTTCACTGAAGTTGAATGTAAAATATAGGAAAAAGGTATATTCACTGGATTTTATTTTCAGCAAAAAATAGCAAAAATTAATTTCAAGCAAAAATAAAGTATTTTACAGTAAGCACATACTACATGGCCATGAGGGCACTAGTATACGTATATTTCTCTGAAGACTGGGGGGTATCAAAAATACCTACCGTAAAATCTGTATTAGAAGCCGCATCCCTAATAGAAGTCGCACCCATTCTTTTTGAATAATTGAGAACCAAAAATTCATCATTTCTCATATGTATAGATGCTCTATTAGAAGCGGCATCCCTTCCGTTTCATTGTATCATTTTAATAGAAGCCGCGGCTTTTATTACAGATTTTACAGTACTATTTCAAGAGCCTGGCATAGAATAGCCAAAGGAATACACACTAGTTGTCTGCTGCCTTCTTTTAGACTTATGACTAGTGATATCACAATTTCTTCCTAAATCAATATAAAGGCGATATATTGTGCTATGTTAATCTGGTAATTGTGGCATCTTGTCTTTAGATGGAGTTGTGTCGTGCCAAGACTCAGCTTAAATCAATGTTGATGATGAACCTGGAATCTCGCCCAATTGTATTTGAAGATGTTGGTAGACAGGTGCTGGCAATGGGGTACAGAAAACCCCCAGAAGAATTTTGTAGATTAATAGGTAAGCAATGTTTGGCACTGTGATAGTCACACAGTCATCACTCCATGTTTTATAGTCTGATCCATCTTGTATGTTGTCATGGTAATATTCTGTCCATCCTAAAATCAACTTGATGATAATGGCTTTTTTAATTTTCTAACGCTGGCATTTGATTGAATAATAAAAGTAATTGGAATGGTATATCTACATCTAGATTACCATTATTATAGTGGTGGTAGTTTTCTTTATTAGGTCCGCTGTAAACATAGATGACAGAGCTCAGCTGGTCATATAAGTGATTGTCTGTCGTCCGTCTGTTCATCTGTTTGTCTGTCAACAATTACATTTCCACCTTCTTCTTGAAAACTACTATCTCAATTGCTTTGATACTTGGTATTTAGGTATACTCTATTTTTTAGTGAACATTTTTGGTCAGAAATGTTATTGTTAACTTCTTCTTAAAAACTGATGCTCCAATTGTTTTGATATTTGATACATGTTTACATACATCAGATTAGTTCCTTCTGTGACATATGGGGAACACTCAAAGCTCTGTTCAAACAGTGGAGTAATTTCAACCATCAGTTTGCTTGTTTTATGGTCACTTGGCATGCAAACTGAATTCCCAGTATCCTCTTTGATGGTATCCTATATATATCAATGTGTGATTTCTTCTCTCATTTCTTCTGATTTGTTTTTTTGCAGACAGTGTAACAGAAGATGATATCATTCGAGTCGCCACTAGAATGTTACGTACAAAGCCCTCTGTTGCTGCTATGGGTGACTTAAAGAAAATGCCAGATTTTGTGGACATTTGCGCCGGTCTAGCCAGTAAAAGTGGCAGATTACCTCGCAGATTTTCTCTCTTTGGGAACTAAACGAAGGAGACATTTTCACCATTTTGTTTTTTAATTAATCTTCATACCTAAGAGTGTAAAGTGAAAATCATCATTTTGTGGAAGTCATACTGCAAATACCTGCAGGTCCTAACAACCCTGGTTTTTCACTGCGTCATAATTTGTGACTTGTGAAATTCATGAGTATTTTTATTTTAAGGTACTGTTAAAAAAATTAATTGCATCCTGATTATAGCCCTGCCTAGTTGAGAGTTCGGATCGACAGTGTTTATGACAACAATTCAAAAACTGCAAATGTCTTGATAGCAAACTGCACTCTTTGTTCTAATGTGTTGACTGTGAAATCTTTTCAACCAAACCTGCGAGTCGGCGCCAAGATGTTCAATGCTATATTCTACTGATCAATCAAGTGTTATGTAGCGTAGCTATTAACGCTATGAAGCGACTCTTCAGCATAATAAAAGTGATGCAATGTTGATAAATATGACACCCTAGCTGGAGGCAAATAATGTTAAAATGGCTCTCCGCATCGAAACAACTGTGTAGTCATGTTGTGTTGAAGAGAGATGATTCGAAGATGAGTTTGTAGTGGTTTTTGTTTCCCAAACTTGAATTTATTGTTACTTTAACTGTTTTCAGATCATTAATGAATGTCTTTAGTACTTTTAGACTTGAAATTTGAAATTTCACAAACCTCTGTTTTTGTTAAGATTTTAGTGTTAGTTTGAGCCAATTCAAATCATGTACTATGGAGCATGTTACATATATGACATGTATGCAATGCATTAAGGCAGATAACCTCTCATTTTTTATTAGTATTGAACACTAATAACACCCTGGAAACTAACTGAATTACATGTAAATTTTTTGAAATGTTTTCATAACCAAATTCATGTCAATAATATGGCTTATTTTATCCTATGTAACCAAGCCAAGTTTTGAGATATGAAGAAAATTATATAACTATAGAAACCAGTGTAAAAATGCTAATTTTGATGATTTTCAATGATACTTCATTTTTCCCCCATCCTGATGACATGAACTTGCAAAAATGAAGGCATGATGAATATGACGAAAAATCTTCATGTAGCTTAAACCACCTTTCCTACCCCAATCTTAGTGCCACATTTTGCATATTTTTATGGAATATTTGGTGATTTTGTTGTTAATTATGGACCAAATGGACATAATTACCTACTGGCTACAGGTCATAATCAAAATTTTGAAAAAAAAAAGTCATGCAGCTTTTAATTTGTGATGGTAACAAAAGTTGACATTGATCGTCAAAGTACCACACTGATAGTACATGTACATACTTTTAATATGATACCAACTGCCACTGCTGAGCAATACTTATACTGGCATTGTGTGTACAAGTTTACTTGTTCTTTTTTCTATCTATTACAATAGACCATTTTCCGTTGACTGCGAGATACCACGTTGTGTGTGAAATCGAACGAAAAAAACAGGACAAACAGAGGTCATAGCGTTGTAGTGGCTTCCGAACATCGCAAGGGGTTAGTCAAACGTGAAAATATCTGTTGGGTATTTCCGTGCTTAATAATGTGCTATACACATTTCATGATTATTTTTGATGAAGTAAGGTTATCTCAATGCAATATTCCCCTCAAGGATTGCGACATTGAGCTATAAAAAAAACACACTATAAATACAAAATCAACTCATTTGATCTTTGTGACAGATGTTTGTTTCATGCCTTTCATGCAATAAGCAAGATCTCGAGGTGAACGGAAAATCACCTATTTATTACTCAGTTTTGCTCGTATTTGTATTGATTACCAATAATGCTTTGCACTTAAGAATATTGACAAAGTGTATATATATATCCCCGACATATTCTCTAAATTAGGTGTATGGTTTCAGGTCCAAATGTACAATTATGTGTGGTTTCAAGGAGAAAATACTCTCATTTAATATTTTTGGTTCTAATAGAAATAAAAACTAGACCTGGGAGTGTTAACTCTTGTGGGCAGACTCAGAAAATGACTGTATGGTGATTTGTTAAAACTAGTAGAATGCATGTGTACTTTATTATCATACATAAAATAATATACAAATGTGTCATCTCGCATTAAATTATTATAGGCAGAGGGAAAGATGCATAATAAGGATATGCACAAGAATACCGCGAAGCATGCAATTGGGCAATGTGGTAACAAAATGACCACTCTGTATGTCTTTATGCGTTCACGCATGATTTGCAGTATGTGTATTGTCATAAAATCTTCAGAGTATCAACTTGAGCTTGAGTAAAAATAAAATCGACATCGACAGAATAAATGTACTAACAGAATTATTCTGTGTTTTTCTCCCAAGATTTTTATTGTGTGCAGCACAGTAGCTTATAATTTATGCAAGTTCGACTGAGAATGGTCTTTTCATATACTCTTAGACACGGTAACCATTGAATTTCATTAGCCACAAACATGTTCTCTTGAGTGATTCAAAATGGAGGAGGGGCTTCGGGTTCTCCATCTCCACAGGATTCTATCTGGTTTCAATCAACAAATCTAATTGAGTATTCATTGGGCATCATGACTTGAAACTTGTAGGGTAGTAGTAGCACAATATTATCTGTGAAATTTGCTGTACAAATACAATCTGATATTCTGTCGCTGCTTTCATTACACAAATAAACCACCACGGGGATTTTGACCATTTTGTCTGTTTTAATAAATTAAAAGAAATTTGGATTACACCACCAATGTTTGCATATGTAGAGATGATTCCACCTCAAAAAGACTATCATTGAATGCGTGGATCTTGTTATTTGAATTGGTTTACTGCACAACATGTGAGCAATATGGGACTTGATTAAAAAGCTTATGGTTGTAACAGTGCACTATGGGAGTGTAATTACAGCCATCTTGTGTATGCTTGCTGCATTCACTATGGGAGTATAATGGCAAATCCTTTGTGCTCATGTCAATGCCTCATTTTAAATGGCGGTGGTCGTCGCGCGGCGCAGCGCATGTTCTAATTCCATATAAATGAACAATATATTTTACATGCATTGTATACGGCGCTATGAGTCCCATATCGAACAGGACACTGCGCGACGACCCCATTCCTTAAAGCTTTACTCCATTCCACGAATGCCTAGTATAAATATGTTCAACTTAAAAAAAACGCCACCATAAAGCATACATTTATGAGGCATTATACTTTTTGACTCCCGTGTGTGAAGCACAAAAGGGAGTCTTTGCAGCTACCCTGTCTGTATGTATGTATGTCACTTTTTTTGTTCAACCGTTATCTCAAGAACCACTAATCAAATTTTGATGAAACTTGGTACATAGATGCTCTGGGATAATGCGCAGAGTTGATTAGGTTTTTAAATTAACTGATTTTAAGCTGTTCCATGACTGTTCCACTGATATTTGAAGAACCACTCATTGGATTTTGATGAAACTTGGCACATGGATGCTCTGAACTAATGCGCAGATTTGTTTTGGGTAAAAATCTGTTTATAATAATTACCAAATTTGCATAATTATTAATCAATTTTCGGCTTTTCCACTGATATCTCAAGTGCTAATCATAACATTTCAATAAAACTTGGTACATAGATGTCATATGACACTTCACAGACCTGATAGTTTTTAGGGTAATATCAGTACATATTAATTACCTAATTTGCATAATTAATTAATTTTCAGCTTTTGATATTTCAAGTAGTAATGATCACATTTCAATGAAACCTGGTACATAGTTACTTGAGGACTGTGCAGAAACCTAATTAGTTTAGGGTAAATATTTGTGCATATTAATCACCTTATTAGCATAATTAGTTAATTTTCAGCTTTTCACTTGATATCTCAAGTACTAATCACATTTCAATGAGACTTGCGACATATATCTTCTAGGACTATGCAGAAACCTGATTAATTTTGGGGTAAATAATTGTGCATATTTGCATAATTTGTTAATTTTTTGCTGTTCCATGGCTGTTGCACTGATGTCTAAAGAACCACTTATTGGATTTTAATGACACTTTTCAAGAGTACTCATCACATTTCAATGAAATTAGGACTATACACCATATTAGTTTTTGGTAAATATTTATGCTTCTTAATCACCTAATTAACATAATTAATACTGGTATCTCAAGTACTGATCATCACATTTGAATAACATTTGGTACATAAATGCTCTAGGACAATAGACAGCCTGATTAATTATGTGTCAAATGCAATTAGATTGTTCGTGACAAACAAACTTCTATATGGAGTCATGACACATGTTTAGTGGAGTGGCTGCTTTTAATGAGAAATCAGAATTATCTTAAAATATGTTCATATTAATTCTCTAATTAGCATAATAATAATAATTTTTTGGTTCTAATCACATTTCAATGAAACTTGGTACATGGATATTACATTTCGCAGATCTTATTACTTTTACATTGTGCAGACCTTATTAGTTTTACATTTAAATCTGTTCATATTAGTTACCTTATTTGCATAAGCTTTTCCATCAATATCTCAAGTTCAAGTAATTTTGAATTAATTTGTAATGTGTCTCAAATACTCTCAGCACACGGGAGTTCTTTCTAAGCTTTCTTTGATTACCAATTTACTAATGCCTAGATTCAATGAGGCATTCCACTTGTTTTACACCACAACGTTAGGGCCTGGAATCTATGTAGTGTTTCACTTGCTCGCAGTGTAGTTTCAACTGATACAACCGCACTTCTCGAGACTTCCCAATGTTTTTGTAGCTGTATCATACGTGGGACATGCTAAAACACTCGCATTATCATTATCAAAATAAAATGAAGGGCGGCTTTGCATAATTTCTAAAGTTGTACATATATAATGAAAAGGAATAACACATTTTGGTTTTAGCAACTTCAATTGTTGGAATCAGTAGTTGGAGGATTGTGTGAGGGCAGATAAAAACAGTACATCGTACACTAACCCCATGACAATACGTAATCCGGAAAAAGGATGAACGCAAAAACGATTCACAGGCACCATCTTCCGACCAGCAACCGACAAGCAAGCTCATGATCAGATCAGTGAGAAAAAGATGTACAGCCAAATGATGCGTTTCGATCCTGCTCCAAATGTGGTATCCGCCACGTCAATCATAAAAGAGTCTGTCCATAAACTCGTGGTTAACATTAGACAAAGATACAAGTGCCCCCTGAGACCATCTGGGTACCGGTTATATTAACAAACAAGCACAGAATATGAGCTCCCAAACTAAGGCTCTAGTTTGTAATAGGTAGTATGCATATATGCCCGTATTCAAATGTATGCCCCATAAGTTGAAGAGAGTCAGATATTCACTGTAAATGAATGGAACATTGATTATGGTAAATTGTGAATGTAACTCTCTTGTCTCGCCGTCAAAGTCGGACGCGAGAGTCAAATTCAACGTAAACATCTATATATACAGTTATGAAGCAGAATAAGCAAACTCTGTTCAATTTCAAGTTCATTATGATATATCACTAAATTTGGGATTTTTGATGGAAAACATGCCAGCAATTGTACTGAAGGTGAAATATATAGTATATAGCGTAACTTTGTTTTTAACCAATTTATATACATGTATATAAATCCTGCTTCCTGTAATTGAAAAAAGTACAACTCGTATTATAGAAATTTGAACTACCACAAATCATAAGATAAACATATCGAAACGTGAATCGTAATACACTTAAGCTAATAACACATATACATATATTGACGAGATCATAAATATATAGAATATTATTATACATCTATCACCGTAACGCCATAAGTTACAGCGTGTCGTAATTTTGTGGTATTTTACGGGGTAATTTCATCCTACCACATAAGGAAATGCGAATTCCAAATATAGAATGATTACGCGCGTAAGCGTCCTCTAATAATAAAAACAAACATGGCTGCCACCAGGGTCTGACCGGACTCAACACAAAGAAGGTCGCTGATTCTGTTCTGCGCGTCGGTTGATACTTCACTGTACTGTCTTCGTGCATATTTTGAGGTATCCTCGTAATAACCTTAATATTATACATCATAGTATTACTCAGGTTTGCATTGTCGCGCTACCCGTACTACCATCACTTACCTTGTTTTTTAACATAGGTAAGCAATGGCAGAACTTCTTGAGGAAACTGGTTCTGAACTGCTTGTATTTGAAGACGTAGATGAACGGGTTGAGAATTGAGTTGGAAAACTTGAGAAGCACAATGCAGTTAACATAGTCAGCGCCAAGGTCTATGAATGTTCCCAAGTTATAAGCAAGGAATAGTAGACTATCTGGCGTCCAACAGGTTGCAAACGTTACAATGACAAGAAGCAACATCCATATTACTCGCTGGCGTGCCTTCAGCATGGACCTGGCCTGTAGTTGATCATCTGCCGCGGAGGGTGTCGAGCCATTGTTGGCGCTGACCTTCAAGCAGGATAGAATTCGGAAGTAAGCCCAAGCCATAACGCATATTGGGACGAAATATGTAATGATGAAATATAAAACACCGATGAGTTTTCCAACCCACTCGTATGGATACACAGACAACATGCAATTCCCATTTTTGTAATCGTGGAAGATTACTGTAACAAACTGAAGAACAAACATAGAGATCCAGGCCATTGCTATCATTGCTAATGCATTTCCAGTTGTATAGTATTTATCATATGACAATGGATACACGATGGCAAAGTACCTTTCCATGGTAACGAGAAGCAAGTTGAAAGATGACGTATTTATGCTGAACCAGAAAAACTGAGCGCTAAAATACAACCTGCAGTAGAATTGTCCTGCTATACCACTAGGTGTAACGAATGTCACAACCTTCGGCAAGAACCTGTTCAGTACTAGCAACGCCGAGGTCATAAAATCGGCCACAGCTAAATTGATGATGAAGTAATTAGTGAGAGTTTTCATTTTCGGCGTACTGATGACCACAATGATAACAAGTGCATTTCCCATGGTGCCGATGATACCGAGAATCAATTCAGTGATATAGACATATGCAGGCGTTGGCGGAAATACTAAATGTAGGTTTGACTCGTTCAGTGTGGACGTATTCCACTCCATATCGAAATACATCACTGGTGTTTCACCTGAAAAAAATCATAGTAATGTTATAAACAAGTACACGTTTTTACATACTTCGCATTATCCAAGTAACAATGTGCTCTTTTCAAACTAGGTACTGATTCTCATTAATGGAACAACACCTTGTACTGGGAATAAATCCGTATATTATAATGGGGCATTTAACATCACCAGCAAGTTAGAGAGAATCTCAAAACAGAAAGGTTATACTTTAGATTGTACAATTTGGCACGTACATAGAAGGAAAACCGCGCTTCCAGGAAAAAAACTCTTTTGCCCCCAATATTATTTGGGTTCAGTGCCACTTAAAGATTACCGAGGGCAACACATCCAATTAACATAATTACTTGGTTTAATACATGTTCCCTCATTTAATTCACTAATATGACACTCACTAAAATATATCAGCGACAGCGATTTACAAAGCAACAGGACTGTTTAAAAATGCAATCCCATGATATTCAGTTGAACACACTTTCTGACGTGTAGCAGGCAAATCCGGACAAATCATCCTATACGTCAATTCGGAAGAGTTTTGACATGGCATTTTGTAATGAGTTATTGAAATATACACGTTCATCGCATTGTTATTGTAGCCTCTGATTATAATTATGGAATCGCGGATAATTTCTAGATAATTCTGATTTCTCATTAAAAGCAGCCACTCCACTAAACATGTGTCATGACTCCATATAGAAGTTTGTTTGTCACGAACAATCTAATTGCATTTGACACATTGATTTCATTTTGGTTCGTTAATTGCAATTTGAATACGTGTATGAATTCAATGCTCGGAAAGACTAATTTTATTTGTGTTATTCTAAAAAGACCTCATCATAGACAATTTTCACCTCAAAAACCATAGCTCTTTGTAGACCAAAAAGGAATTTTGTATATCCCATCAGAGACGAAATTGTCACTAAATTTATTTAGTTATAGGTTGAATCTACTCATCACCCGGACTCATCAATCTGAATGAATGATCAATTCGAAGGGAAATTACTCACTACAAAACTACTTATTTTTCAACACACATCATTTTGTTTGATTTACAAAAAAATGTTGTTTGACAAAGAGATCAGAGACTGAAAACAGACCCCATCCTAGACCGGCGAATCTGATATTGAACCAAAAAGCGAGCAAATCTATACCCCATTCCAGACCAAAACGCTAAGAACCAAAACTTTCTGATCTGGAAAAATTATGACATATCTCAATAATATTCGCATGGACGCCCACAAATAAATTTTCCTGTCAATCAAACTTCACTAAACAAATACTAGTCCATTTTAGGTAATGAAGAAACATTTAGTTTTACAAAAGCTAATAAAAAATCATTAAATTCTGGATGACGATGTTGGTGATCGTTGAAATCTAACAAACAAGCTGCCTAAAAATTGAGATATGTAAATACTGGAACACCAAAACGTAATCAATATATTGCTTTGATATGCCATACAAAGGAACAAGCACACTTGAAACCAATTCTATGAAGTATACGAGGGACGCCCATATTTGCCATATACATCATCGTCATTGAAAAGTTTTTTTAATTCTCTCGTTTTAAAATTCTTATTATTTTACAGCATAATAATAAAATAATAATTGTTTTTATTTCCAGTGTATAATATTGTACCATAAAAACGAAGCAGCATGCAGACTTTACCCATTCATAATTTGTACTCGATATTCCACAAAAATGGAACATTATGCAAATCTCAGGATTTGTTCAGTCTAGGCTAAGCTGCTTCTTTCTTCAAATATCATGAATATTTCATTAAAATCAATTTAGCACAAGATATGTTTGTGGAAACTAGTTCATACACGGCATATTCAATTAAAGCGGGGGGGGGGGGGTGTCGTCACCTGCGCATGCGCCAGATGGCCATAGCGTGTCATTGTTTACAAACAATCGTCTACCCATGAGCCTTTGCGTTATTAGCGTGTGTTATTATTGTCGCCTGGGAACAATAACTGACCGAGACATTTTTTTCCTATGTGTAAATAATACATTCTCTCCACATTCTCACGTGTACGGCAACCGAGGTGGCTCACAGCATGGCATTTTATAAAACCATTTTTACAATTCATTTACATTTTGAAAACTCATTTTTATTTTATAATTCCTTTTTAATAACCATTTTCGATTTTGAAATCAATTTTTAAAACCCACCTTCGTTTCTGATATCTGTTTTCATTTTAGAAACAATTGTTTAAATCCATTTTCATTGTTGGAATCCGTTTTCATTTTTAAAATTCATTTTCGTTTTCAAATTCAATTTTCATTTTAAAAATCAATTTTTGTTTTTAAAATCCGTTTTTATTTTTTTTAACCCGTTTTCATTTTTAAAATCCAATTTCGTTTTGAAATCCATTTTTATTTTCAAAATCCATTTTCGTCTTCAAAATCCGTTTTCATTTTTAAAATTCATTTCATTGACCTTTGAACTATAGGAATATATGCATTTTTCCCCTTCGAGCAATTTTTTCATCAGAATTTACCTAAAAATCACTGCTGTTTCCCGCCTATCCCATTAACTTAAACATAATAATTGTTTTAATGGGATTCTCATTTTGATTCGATTTTCGATTAGTTTTTTCAATCTCATTGCAACTTTCAATTTCAAAATCCATTTTCATTTTTGACCTGTGACCTCGCCCTCTGACCTCATACGACGTGACTATAAATTGTAACTCGGATTCTGGCAGTTTGTGTATTTCCACTAGTGACGTTCCATGAT